ACGTACTCATCGTGCTCCGTGTCAAACGCCCACAAACTCACCTGCCTATGCGGTGAATGCGTACCAAAGGACTGTCAATTGCATTTCAGAACACGCCCCCTTTCGTCCCTGTTCGGAGCGGATGCTTTCCATGAATCGAAATGAGGACTTTGCATTTTTATCCAACAATTTTTATCCAAGTTCACCAGCAGCCATTAACTGCTAGCTTCTAGTCGATTTTGCCTGGTAACCATAATTTATGATATATTTAAGCATCAATTATAAAAGCAAACCGATCAGTGGTTAACAACAGTGTTCGCTGAATCGAACTTGTGCAATAATAAACACTGGATCGATCGATCGATCGATCGATTGATTCGATCGGTCGGTTGGTCGGTCGGTCGATTGATTGGTTAGTTGATGATTTTTGTTTCATTTAAAAAGATCAACAATGCAACCCACAGGCTGAAATGACGCGATTTGTACAGCCGATAAGGAAATTACTAAAGCTGTAGACATCACACAGAAACTATAAAACTCAAGTACATTAACATAAATTTTAGATTTCATCAAAAACAAATTAACGATCTGAGAAACGAAACTATGTCTGAAATAACGCAAATTTACAGAAATTTTGAAATTATTAGAAATTTAAATTAAAAGGTTGCTCATGTGCTTAAAAATAGTTTGTCCACTAAGGTAAGATTTACCAGGAAGGTGAAAATGCATTCAATCCCCCAATATTGTGTATAGCTTGGTTATATTTATTGTTAAAGATTCGCTTAAACGAGTGGGTTATGTGGAAGGGGGCTTCTTTTAATACATTTTCTATATATTTAAGCTCGCCATAGCTGCTATTCGAGCCACTGAAATACCAAGTTCAACGGTTTTAAAAGGTTTGAAAATAAACTATTATGTTGTGTTTGGTGTGTAATAAATCATATATTCATTACCACATCGTGTCTGTATTGCGTCTGTATTTTTCGTAATTTAGTCGAAATGTTTGAACACTTCGAGTTTTATGCAAAATTTCCACGATCAGACCGTGCGCTGGCGGCACTGTTGAGAAACGAAATTTGTCTGGTGTAACGACTGGTTCCGCTACAAACGTATATGAACATGAACGTAAAGGGCAATGACCATCTTTAGTGCTTTAGGCACGATGGAAAAAGTCGGAATGCGTCCAGACGGGTCCTTTGAATCCGGACTCAAAGGAATGCAAGGGGACTCAGTCTCGTGTATCTCCCTGCGTTCCTTTGAGTCCGATTGCGCGCTGATCATGCAGTCTACTGAGCACTGAGGAAGTGTTGGCCTATTCGTCGGGGGTTGGCTGACAGCAAAAGAAGCTACATGCCTTTATGCAGGACGACTCCGGCTGACAAGTGGTATCATTCTTGACTTGGGGGTTCGCCTATTAAAAACTCCTAATAACCGGCATCAGATATTTGTTTAAGCATGTCAGCATGTCCTGAGTTACCATTTCTTCTTGGAATTGTTTGTAAAACTTTGTTTTTTTTCCCAGATTATATATCTGGATAACCAGCGGCAGCGATTTTTCTTCAACGTTCAGGGACGGATTACCTTACCAATACAGGAGTACCAAAAGAAACTAGAGGTGGTGTTTATGAACAAACACATAGCTGTTCCCAAAATGTTTTTATTGTCTTGTGATGACTATCAACGAGTATCATAAGTTTGCAATTAATTGGATTACAAATAATTGCCAACTTGAAAGTGGCATGTATAACGAAAAACCAAATATCACTGCAATTGAACGTATAGTGCATAAGATATGACGATTTGTGTGTTAAAATACAACTTCCGGTCAAACCAGAAGTAGAGGTCACGTGAGGTCAAGATATAATTTTCATCTATAACACGTTCCCGACCATGTGCATGCCGAATTTGAGTTAAATCGGTAAAATAGTTTATTAGTTATTATACTGTAAAGAATGAAATTTTGAATTGAGGTCACGTGACACCTGATGACGTCACAATACAAAAAAGTTTCGAGGCTCATCTTCTGATGATGGTTAATTATCATGCCAAGTTTGAAATTGATCAGACTGAAAATAATTGCCAAAGTTCCTTGTAGAGAAAGTCCACCTTTAATGTCGCGTGATTTTTCTCCTCATGTTGTCATCATCACATCAGGTCAATATTCCTCTAAAGCCCTCACTTTTGAATATATCTGCAAGATTTAAATCCGATCAGACATCTACTTTAGGAGATATAGTGCCTTAAAAACATAATTCTTTGATAATATCTAACGTAGCAATAATTGAGAGATATTCTGTATACTAAATTTAAGAAAAAGAGTGCAGGACCACTATCGATGACATCTGTTGCACTATCCTGGACATTTTGGCGCAAAAACTGAAGTCACTTTTTGTAACTGCGACTAGAATGTCATATTTGCACACAGATTTATGGGAAAAGTAGTGAAGCTTTTCACAGATAATAAAGGCGTGGTTTCAGTGGTAAACAAGGGCAGTATGGTAGAAGAATTACTGCTTTTAAGTCTGGACATATTCAGACTGTGTAAACTCCACGAAATCAAATTAGATGTACAGTGGATACCCAAACATGCAAATCAAATCGCTGACGAGATCAGTCGAGAAGTAAATTGGGATGACTGGGGAATTTCCCGGGAATTCTTTCAATTTATTGACAACATATGGGGACCCCACACAGTGGATCGGTTTGCAGATGAGACCAATACGAAAGTACCAAGATTTAATTCCAAGAATTCAGTCTCTGGTACTAGTGAAGAAGATGCATTCTCGTGCAACTGGCACGTAGAGAACAATTGGTTAGTACCACCCACCAATCTTGTGGGAGATGTTCTGAGGCATTTGGAATGTTGTATGTTGTGCACAAGGAGCTCTGGTAATCCCATGTTGACCTTCAGCCCCGTTTTGGCCTCTACTATTCTCTGATTACAGTTCATTCAGGAGACCGGCTAGCACCACCATGACATTTACTGATCCATCCAATATTGATGTTCCAGGAAGAAATCTAAAAGCATTATTTCAATCCCCATTGCTAAAGTCAGGAGTAATATGTATTCGATTTACCGGCTAATTGGCTATGCTAAATTACTCCAGACAAATTGGTGTTTACGACACGCGTATAGCGTCAGAACCGAGTGGCATGTTGTACGACATATGGCAAAGAAAGTCGAATGGCACAGATCAAAAGACAGCTGAATGGTAGTCTAAGCCGGATGGCATGCGTTCCTTCCTCTATGCATGAACGTAGCATCATGGTATCAGTTCAGCGTACTGAGTACGCTTCAGGTTGAGTATACCCTGTATATGGCACAGTGAGATGACAGTACATGCAAGCCAAAAAAAATTTAAAAATCAGGCAATTTGTGATTTTCCCTTCAGGATAGACGAGGGTGAGTTTGTTTCAACCTTGGCTTCAATCTTGGAAGCGTCCAGAGCTCCCACTACAACTAAGAAATATAACAGTACCTTCGCCGCATGGCAACGATGGTGTGAGATACAGAAGGTAACCGCATTACCTGAGGACTCCAGTGACATATGCTGTTATTTCGACGCGACACTTATTCCACGCGGATGGTCCATATTCAAAAATTGAAACGACATTCTACGCCCTGAAATGGCGACACGATTGTCTCCCAGACTGTAAACAGAACCCGTGTGACAGAACATTTTTACATATCGTCTTACAAGGTCTTAAGAGGAGATTAGCGAAACCCATAGTAAAGAAGGAACCCATAACACCAGAAATCATTAAAGCACTAATCGACTCAAACAATTTATTCGATGTTCGATTATGTACTATGTTACTTGTGTCACAACGAGCTCATTAATATTCGCAGATGCGATCTTCAGCTGCATGATGACCATGTTAAGATATTCATTGTTAAGAGTAAAACGGACATCTTCAGACAAGGAGCGTGGGTACTTATCGCTTCCGTCAACAAATACACCCACATTTCCGATAACGATGTTGAGAAAATATCTAACGTTTGCAGACCTTATGGATGATGGCACAGACGAAAATTTCTTATTCAGACCAATGAATTACATGAAATCACAAAACAGGTATTAGTTGAGGTCCACTCAACTTTCATATTCATCATGTCTTGACTTATTCAAGAAGGTTCTAGTTTCAGTGGGAGTGGACCCCCGAAAATACGGGCTGCATAGTCTGAGAGCTGTTCGGTGCTCCCCAAATGTGTAGTATATTCATTGTCTTCTTTGTAGGTGGCATAATAAGGGGGAGGGGCTTATTATGAGGGGAGGCGGCTTTATTCGCGTTTGAGGGTCGAATTAGAGAATAAGTACAGTATGATATACTCTCCAAAATCACTCTCGCATTCATCAGCAGACGCCATGTTGGATCTGTAAGTTAAGGGTCTGGTGTTGCCATTGACTTCTTCACCCGTCGTGTTTGGGGTTCGCAACTTAATACGTCCCCACGCATATCAGGTGTCAGGCCTTGTTTTTTTTTAAGCAACGAAAGAGTAGAATCCATGCCAACATTTGACATTTCGATTAAGTCGTTGTGAAAAAAGCGATATATCGGTATTCAACAAAATACGATGTCGAGGGTGACTACATCAGTATATGATTTGAAGAATACTATACCCAACCGAATTTACGGGAATATTTAAATATTAAAAATTTAATAATGAATCACTTGATGACGTCATCATGACGTAATTATTTACGTATTATCTTCGTTTTATGGGGAATGCTTGTAACTTTAATGACAATCAAATATTGCTAAGTTACCAAAATACCAAGTTTGAAATTGATCGGACTTAAAATAATTGCCAACGTGCCCCTTAGAAAAAAACAGCGGCAAAAGAAAAAAAAGGAAAATAAAATTTTAACGATTACAAAAGCTGTTCCCAATTGAGATTGGGAAGAGCTAAATAATGTTGAAGATTAGGTATACCCATCCCTGATCAGCATTCTCTTTCGAAAGAACGCACAATCAGTTATTAGGGACAATATTTAATCGAAAAATTGGTAATTTGATGTCTTTTGTGTCTCCTGACAAATATGCCATTTTTTTGTGGGTTTGGTGTACACAGGTGCGTTTAATTAATCCAGTGGGGAATATTGCGGGACACTGCCATAGCGGCCATTCCTCACGCATTCTTTTTTTGGGAGGGGGTAACGGCACCATGGATAAAGTCGGTGATGCTTCGGGCTCTCCAAATTGTCTATTACGTTTTCTGCGGATAGAGTGCAGTGCAGAATATTCATATTATTTGTATTTTTTTCCAGCATTATTTACTTCAGAGTCCGTCATTATTTAGCCACGTTCAGAAAAAGTGGGCTATTTGACCTATGGTATATGGGACCGCAGGTAATATGGGACGCTTCCTCCGGTGTAAACGTTCACCGGCACGAAACAACGCCCTCAATAGTTATACAGACTAGCCATTACTTCCGTCATGGAGCGGTTGTAGGTTTTAGTGAATCTCACGGAAAAAAGTTCATTAAAACTTGACAAGGTATGTGACGTCAGTGGTATTTTTGTTGCTGATCTAAAAATAGGTATTTTATCAAATATGCTGAAACTGTAAAACTGTCCGGGGATATTCTGAATTGCTGTCATATTTAGCGATTTTATGAAGTCTTTTGAGCTAGGTCAATGCGTGGGGTACTGTGTATAATTCTTTTAAGAATAATAAAGCATTGAATGCGAGCTCCGCTATCACAACGAGGTGCAGGTAATATGGAAAATCCAATATGGCGAACAGGATTTGTTTGCCTGTCAGATAAGTGTCATGGTGATTTGGGTAAATACTTAAAGTTGATGTTAACTTTCTGTTTGTTAAATCATATAATTAGTGATAAATTCAGAATTAGATAGAATTAGGTCTTGTGGTTAACTTTTATTTTGCTGTCCTTTTTATTCAGATGCCAGTCAAATATAGTTCGGAAATCACGCCAGGCTTTATGATTGCCTGAAGACATGCAGATGTCAGATATAGTCAAATATAGTTCAGAAATCACGCCGGACTTTATGGTTGCCTGAAGACATGCAGATGGCCATCAATGCATGCAGAGCCAAAGACATGGTCCTGACAACAAATTATAGGCTTGCATAGGCAATTATAATGTAACAAAAACAGCATGTAACAATATTTCAGGTGTGAAATAAAAGTTTTGGCATACATGTCAGGACATGATGCATGTGTTAATACACTTTTATTTTAACTCCAAGTATGACGAGGCAATTTGAATTAATTTGTGAAATGGCATTTTTAAAGTGAGATGATTACACGTCTTGTCTGAGTTTTATGTATGGAGATGTCGAAGGATGCTTTTATTTACATTAAACATGTTAAATAAGTGAAATTGCATGTGTAAATATTTTTCAGTTGTACAAAATAATTAAAATGTCATTACATTGTCTTAGAATCAGTGTTCCATATTACCTGCACATCACGCTGTCCCATACTGCATTTGGTGATGACGTCATACTTTGCATCTGAACTGTTGTTAGGGATACAACCTGGTGTAAGTTGTAGAATTCAAAGGAAGAGTTGTTGTTACTCTTCCAAACAATCAATATTTCTTTCTAATTGTTCTATTAGTCTTTATGCAAATTATGTAAATGAGATTAATGGTCCCATATTACCTGCACTTACCCTACGCAATTGCGCAAGAATCCATAATGCCTTGCGCTGGTTTGTTTGATTGAGAATTGGAGATGAGCCTTCCACCGGACCCCTTGGATAATGCCATGGCTAGACATCGTGTAAAAAAATGAAAATGCGTTTCGAGCTCAGACTAAAGAATGTGTCAGATCAATGTCTGTGAAGGCGCACGCACGTACATTCATTATGGATTGTGTATCCCGATCTTCCTTCGCTGAAACACGGCACTGAAAACCGCACGTGGCTGCAGCCCGTATATGTAATACACTGCGTGTACAGACTGGCTTATCGAGTATCTATGGAATTCCATATCTGCCGTCGCCCGTCGTCCGTCGCCTTTTGCTTTTTGTTGTGTCCCAATTCTGCCATTTACCAATTCCAAACATGCCATTCTCCGTCGTCCGTCGCCCGTCGTGTGTCGCCCGTCGTGCGTCGCCCGTCGTGCGTCGCCCGTCGTTCGTCGCCCGTCGTTCGTCGTGCGTCGTCCGTTGTCCATCAAATTGGTTGCATAGGGCCTGCTAAAGCCGGGGTTTAACATATGACAATGTGATGATTCCATTCACTTTTAAGGATCTTTTCCTAATAGGCAAGTACAAATCCCACCTGCAAAGCATAAATTAGTCCCATAATTAATGCCAATAATGCTAGATTACCCCTGCCCCTTGACAAGAAAATATCGCCTTTCTGTGAATTCAACCAATTGTTTTTTGGGGAAAAACATTTTCAGCAAAAATGTTCAGGCCAACTTATCCACAATCTTATTCTAATTTGCATACTGTAAAAATGTGCCGACTTGTTTTCATCAAATTCCAGAAAGAAATCTGCCAACCGATACAGATATTCCATTTTGTCCTCTCAATTTCACCTTGAAATTTAAAAATACTAGACAGTGCTGTGGATAACAAACTGGTTATTAAATGTATTGTTAGGGGGCAATTACCACTTGGTTTAAGTTTCAGAAAATGTGACGTGTTGGTTTTTTGGGGGCGTGTATGCCATGGCGGATAGACCAATGAGAACAGGTTGTCCAGCACATCAGCGTTATTTATGGGGCTAACAAGTAACGTTACTGTTGAAAAGACTTCTGTGAGCCAACCTGCAACTAAAGTCATGTCTAATTTGGAGTATACAGCAGATTTCATCATAGGTATACCCGCCCTCAAAATAATGATGAATCAGTTCGTCTATTATGAAAACTATTAAGAAATCAAACATTGTAAATAATTTATTATTTACATTCCGTTCTGTTTGATGTCGTGCAGGGACAGACAGAAATATTACATAGGCTATAGACCTAATGTCAGGCCGTTAACAAGTAAAGTTACGTCTAGAGTTACTAAGTTATCGATGTAACAAAACTGGTATTATTTCATATATACGTCACTTTACCCATGTCAGTCTTTAAAAATGAAAGGATATTATTTTCCTTTCAAGTGGAGTTCGGCGCAACTGCAAAAACGAATACATCTTCTAGTTGTACTGCTAAAACGAGAGTCAGGCACGATGGATCGATCGAACAAGTACATGGACACGTGAAACGATCAAGGGTCGAAGTTAAAAATACCACTGCGCAATCGAGACAAAACAAATAGTAAACGGACGACGGGCGACGCATGACGGACGACGCACGACGGGCGACGCACGACGGCAGAAATGGAATCCCATTGTATCCAATATGGCGGCCTGGCAGGGGCGGCGATTTTCAACATTGGGGGGGGGAGTCGGACACGGGCTTGGGAAACGAGTTGGGGGAGAGGGGGTGGGGATTATTGTATTTTGACCTCACTGGTCCGCACACGTACACACTCACCGTCACACTCTACGGACCGAATAGAACGGCGCTGGTCGGAAGGCTAAGTTTCGCCCAAAAGAATAATCACAAACTGGGGCGTGATTTGTGCAAGGTCAAAACTAATTACATGTACTGAGGATTAATGCCGTCGTCCATTAAAAAATATAAAAATAAAACCTAGTTCGGTGATCCGGAAAAAAGGTTACTGCTGCAAGGGGATACATTTACCATAAATAGATCAGTAGCTCTCGGGGAAGAGGTTTCAACTTTTTGGTCATAATTGCCTTGAAATCACTCTTGTCCAGAGAGGAAAACATTTGAAGAGTACAGGGATGGGAGGGCTTTTCTGCTCTGAAATGGTAGCACACTATTGGAGGCCCGTGAAGCAGCAAAAGACATGAACAATTCCAACAAAAAGCTACCAAAACCAATAAATACAACAGGCCAGACATTAAATTTCTCCTGAAGAAAATAACTTAGTTATGTATAAATACATACAAATCTGCATACATGTGTTTACATATTTATAATATTTACAAGTCTTGAAAGAAAACTGTTGCCTAATCTGTTGCCTGTTGTCTAATCATCCATTGTTCACTGTTTCAAAACACCAGTTTCACTTCAAAAAACTAGTCAAACTCATTCTTTCGCGCTGACGAATAAACATCCTTTCGTTTGTTGGCTAGTTGTAAACAAAATGGAATCCGTAAATTGAAACATATTCACTGTTCATATGTCGTTAGCGATTTTTTGTATTGGTAAGTTCATACATTTTAATGTGTCTCAAAAGCTTAAAAAGTCATGCCCCAAAACACTGCCACATTTAAAACAAAAATATTAGTTTCATTCTGAAAGCTTACTGTTGATATAGAGAACTATTTCTTTTTTGAAATGCTGTTGTATACATGCACATAATCGCTGCTAAAAAAGAAGGGTTTTAATCTTTTCTCCCATGATTTCGATGAAGTAAAAACTATTACAAATTTGTGATTTTTGTGAACACTAATCACACAAGGTATGAAACTGCCTACAACCATAAAGCAAGCCTGCAAAATGTTAATCTATTTAATGGATGGACCTTTTCAACATGGTTGATCTTGTTTGTCTTCGAAGTGTACTCATACGGCAGTGGGCATTTATCACATCGTCCTAGGCCACCATTGATGAACTTTGGTAGATGTTCTTCAGCAGGACTTCGCTCCATCTGAACATCTTCGATGAATGTTGCAGAATGGTCTGGCGAATGAGTTGATGGCAGTGGTGATGGAAAAGTTCTGATGCACCCCCAAGCACTAATGTCGGATTAAAGGTTTATTAGCCTGACCCAGTGCACGTCCTTCGTTATATGCAGGACACCTGCGGTCAAACTGGTAGGATCGTGTAAATGAGTCCGTTTGCGTTCCTTTGCGTGCAACTGAGTTCGGATGCGCTCCACTGTTCTTAAAATCTCTTTTTTTGGCTCCGGACTCGAAGGAACACGTCCGGACCCGTTCGGACCCGTCCGGACGTGTACCGACTTGATCCATGGTGCCTTAGTGCGGGGGGGGGCTCATTACAGTCAATAGAATTTAGAAATAGAAGAAAAGCCTTCATAGGAAACCAGGAAAGTGTTTGAAACTCGATGATATTTTTTAACCATCTGTTAAGAACCACCCACGCGACTGCCTGTCGATTGATGGGAATGACCAACAACCAGCCCAAATGGCCGCAAATAATGTCTAGCACAAAGTATAAGATGAAGAAGTCTTCGATTTACAAGCCGTCCTGAGACTGAAATTTCCTAGAAAAATCAATTGACATCTCATTATCAAACTGGGACATCATGGGTTTCATCGAAGTACTAGATACCTCGGCATTAATGGGAATATCATACTCCATTTACAGCATCGTTAAACAGTGGATTATTGTTTAATTGTTCAGTGATGTCTTTCATTCTCTAGAATGAAAACAGGTCAACGCGAAAATTGCTGACTATTTTACTATCTTGATCAGGTTCATGATTGTAGCAAGCTTGACATCGGTTGAGTTGATGATAACTAGTGTTGGTTGGCTCTCTCGGTGTTCTGGCTCTGAGTAAACCGGTTTGTGGTTTCATTTTTATAGTTTGTCCGATGAAAAGGTATCACAGAATCTCTTTCTTCTATTTGTAGGTGAGCTAGACTTGGATTGGCCTATAAAGAGGGACTGCTTGAAGTTATGGCCTCCAGATTTTTAAAAACTGCTTGCTGGTAAGACGATGCAGGCAATGTTTTTGCGAGCGGACAAAAAGGTTGAAGGAGGCAGTCGCTGGGTGACAGAGATGCAAACGCTGGTTGACAGAGACGCAACATTTTAGCGCTTACAAGCATCTGTCGCAAAACCATACATCCTTTTTTTATTAACATGAGACGCGGAGTGCTTATAGAAACCACTGCGGCGACTTTAATACAATTTCGGCCGCAGTGACCTACCATGACACTGCCGTGTTTGTCGTTTCCTGTAGAGCCACTGGCAATAGAAACACAACTTCACTGTTGAAAAAGGGAATAGACATTTTTCCCTCTTCCAGCCTCAGTTTAGTAACCGTACCCCCACGATAAAGATCTATAGCGTTAAGACTACCCCTCTGTTATTGTCGCTGCAGTGCCGATATGGATGGACTGCTACCAGCTGAGGTCAGATCGGGATGGCAAGCTGTGCTTTCCTTACACGTGACGTGGTTGGTTTGGACTGGACTCACTAAGGGACTTGGGGTGATGCTACCCGCCCTGCAAAAAGATTTTGAATCGAGCACCTGGCTGGTGGGCTGGACGATCGCCATCATCAACGGAATCACTGACTTTGCAGGTAAAGCTCTGCCGGAAAAGAACTGACATTTATAATGGTCAAATCATCACTGATCTAAAGGGCCAGCCAGTGTTTCTTTACAACTGGTTGTGGACAAATTCCTCAACGAACTGAGTCACTGATGACTGACCGTGATTCCATGAGTATGGAGAAATGAGTAACTGATTATACACAACTTCAAACGTTCACAATAACTGTTTGACGTACTGTGTTTTTGATACTAATAGGACCTCTAGCGGGGCCGCTGGAAGTGTTACTGGGAACACGACTGGTTGTCATGGTGAGCGGTGTCCTGATTGGTGGTTCTCTGATCGCGTCTTCATTAGCGACGTCCGTTACGCAACTTGCCCTGTCTCTGACTTTGCTCTCGGGTAAGTGTACCTAGGTAAGAATTGGGCTGAGTGTAAGTAGGGGCAACTGGTGACAAAAATCGCAATGGTTTATTCTGTGAGAAGCAAAGACAGAGCGGTGGGGAAGAATGGTCTATACAATAACTAAAAGAATTAAACGTAAATAACAGTCAATAACGTAACATTACAAAATTATCTGCTGCTCATGCCAAATTCTAGGCGACATCCGCCATCTTAGACGGATGAAATTATTCATAAATGAAGCAAATCAAGAAAGGTTGGTTTAATAACCATGAAAAAATGAGAAATCCTATAGGATTTTATCGGCAATAATTTAGGTACAAAACGTTAATCTAAACGGGTAAAACATTTAGAGGTCGGGAAGTTTCCAAATTTCACTGCTCCCAAATCGACTCAAAATTTCACTTCCGTTATTGACAAAATATGTAACAGTTGTTAAAATTAGTTTATAACAAAATAAATTTACTATTAGGGAGAGAATGGAAGCATCCTGAATTCAAAACACAGGGGTGCGACGCTAAATTATAAATATGTAAACATAGGTGAAAGAAAAGATTGCACAACCAAATTGAGTGTGCTTTAAAAATTATTACTCATGAAACCTTCACTTGGAAGACAAGTTCCTATGATCGAAGAATTGCTGTCTACTTTCAGAGACTACAGTGTGCCATGCATTAGATATGTATCTTCAATGTACCCTACCGTGGGGAGATAGACTATTTTGTGAGTGGAGAGCTTGACATTTTGCCAACAGCAGTTAATGGAACCATCTTTAGCGTCATTTCGTTTTTGACAAATTTTAACAGGGCCTGAAAATCGATATTGTTCTGGAGATTTTTAGTGACAACTTTCGATTCTCTCTCTTCAGTTTCTAGAGTGATATTTGGACTGGAATGTTTGGGTTATATTACTTTCGTTTGATGTGACCCCCAGGTTGTGGTATTGGTTTTGCCAATATCCTGACCAGGGCGATGGTGGGCCGTTTCTTCACCACACACTACACACTCGCCAACGGCATTGGCCACGCAGGTCATTCAGTGGCTCTCATTGTCTTTGCACCTCTGACGCAACTCTTTCTCGACACCTACGGATGGAGGGGAGCCATGCTGCTCCTTGGCGCGATCTGTACGCATCTCGTCCCTTGCGGAGCTCTCTTGAAGAAGGGGTTGACCACGCCCAATCACGAAAGCAGGCAAAGGGACTACACCCTGCTTGCCGATGATCCATCAACAGAGGATTCCGAGGAACGTACGGTGCGGGGAAACAAATGCTGCCTCCCGGAACTTCGCGGTGTCTGCTGCACCTGGGCGTTCGGGCTGGAGGTCTTTCGAAAGACGTCCTTTTACGTGACGGCGGTACTGTACATGTCCAACCGCCTGGTGAACGACTTGTGGGTCATCTACTTTGTGGATCACGTCTACGCCAAGGGTCTCTCCGGGCAAGACGCCGTGACTTTCACTGCGGCGGCCGGTGTCTCGAATCTCATCTTCAAGATAGGTCACGGACCCCTGGTGGACCGGGGTTGGGTGAGCTTGAGGGCAATGTTGGCCGTAACCACAGCCGTGGCGGCTGTCTGCCTCTTCACTGACCCCTGGCTGGATTCCTATTGGACGGTAATGGCCAATGCCGTCTGTTTCATGGGCGCGTCTGGCACGATTGGCGCGCTTCTGGACGTGTACACCAAGGATTTGCTTGGCGCTGATAATCTGGTCAGTGCTTTTAGTTGGATGGGAGTCTTGAGTGGAGTTGTCACAATCAGCTTTGGTTTCCTGCCAGGTAGGATGAAGTAAACATCCTTATCTGTTTATCAGTAACTTTTTTTCCATCAGAATAAAGGGAAATACCCGTTTTGACCACCATTTCAAATAAAATTGGGCTCCTTTTGAATCAAGTGAACTCATGTGGCTTTACTACCGAAGTGACAAAAGTGAACTCACCTCTTAATGCCGTCAAGAATAGAATACCTTTGTCAATCGCTCAAGATCGACGACCACGTGTTTTAAATATTGGCTGTTCAGGTACACTGATTGTTCAGCAACATTGAGAATGTAAAAACAACTCCAACGCATATAAAAAGCCATTTGAACTCCGTCAAAGAACGGGAAAAATTTGTACACATAATCTGTTCGTGAGAGTGGGCAAGTAGGCTGAAGATTTTTTTAAGGTAGACATGAAGGTTATATAGATCATTGAGCTATAAATTAAAATATCAGATGGTCGTTTAACCTTTGAGAATTTTAACCTGTTTAGAATAAGGTGGTACTCACCTGCCGCCTGGGGCTGTCGGAAGTCAGTACTCATTGACTACCACAGAATAAAATATTATGAAAAGGTTACCACAGTCATCTCGCGTTATCACAAAGTTCCAAGGACCAGCTAATTTCTCTTGTTATAACACAGAACCTTATTATCAAAGCTCCTGAAGAACAAAGAAAAGCAACAAAAAGAGATTGTAGCCCTTAAAATTTGCTCATTGAAGCATTATCTTGTTTTTTGCTCTTGGTATCAGACTTGGATGTACTGCTTACCTGAAGAATAATGATCCTCTGAAGAAAGCTACCCTGTTTTTTTTTTATTTTCAGGCTGGATATACGATGTGAGCGACAGCTACAACGGTGCTTTTATCCTGATGGGGTGTATATGGTGCGTGTCGCTCCTGGCTATGGCGACTGAAGTAGTGATGACTCGGCTCGGATGGATCACGCAGCAGTCTGTTGGCAAGGGATGAGCTTGTGTGGTTGTGATAGAAGCCGAGATGTGCATCCGCCCCAAGCGGGACCAATAGAGGGCACAGTTTTCCTAGCAACAGAGGCTCCCCTGACGGGAACTGCGCTTCACTGGTTCACTTTAAATTACATACATGTACATCGGCGAGACACAAATAAACCATTTCCCAAAGTGAGAAGTAACTGGAAAGTTTTGGTGCGTCATGGATAGAGGAATATTTTGCAAACAGGTCATAAGGAATGATGAGTTCCCACGGAACCTGAAACTTGGGTAGCAACATAGTCTAGGCTTGACTACAATGGACAGCAACATTATTTTGATTGGTGCAGGGTGGGGGAAAAAAGGCATTGTGTGTTTTTGCTCAAACTCACATGTATATACATGTCCGTGTACTCTCACACAGGTTAGCCAAGCTACAACAGATGCGTGCAAATTTTATAGAATCTTATCAATGGGTGAAAGGGATCACTTCATTTCTTTTAAAGTGCAAATATTGGAAAAGACCTGCTAAATATTTGATACTTGTGTCTTACTGTACCTATAGCTGTTTCCAACTGTATTCTCATATTGGCTACTTTTCCCATTTTTTACCGTCAACTTGGACGTCAACCTGCTTCTGATTTTAATAAATGCTGGTAAAAAGTAATACAACATCAACATGTACACCTTGGAATGAATCAGAAATGTCAAAGCCCCGATCAGCTATAAAATAAATTGACTTGGCAAAAGGTGATTGAACGAACCACAATTTTCAGTTAACGTCAGAAGTTCGACTTCCCCACACACTTGATAAAAAATACTGTAACGATACCGAGGAACAATACATCCACGACTTTTGATTGCACTGTGATGCTTGTAGCTTGATCATGTCAAGGATGTTGCTGCTGAATTTCCTGATTAGTCAATAAACACTTCAAAACACTCAATGATGACACTTACCATTTGTCCAAAATTTCTAAGTAGCACTGTTATTTTAACTGTGGATGTGTTGGCCATTTAAGGATGGAAGTTCAAAAAACGCAATTTTCCGCTAGCAAAAATTTGGATTTTACTTTAACAACTTTCGTGACGCGTGAAAAGTGGACAAATAAAAACTTCGAATTCCCACTAGCAAATTGTATTTGATGCTCCAAAAGAAGACAAAACCCATTTTCTGCCCGTAGATTTTCGGGTTTTTGAAGTTGCAACACCCCCTTTCATGTAAGTCAAATGAAAGTTCTGCGGACCATTGGAGGTGGTGGTCAGTCTCTGGCTTCGACAAGTAATCCCTGGAGATCTTGGAACCAAGATGTCTGTATCTCATCCAGTAAAATAGTTCCCGCCGCAGCCCGCTTGAGTTGGCATGGAGCGGTGCTGCAGGAGGTGTGGAGGTGGTGGTGTCGAAGAGAAGGTCTGCGATGGATTTGTCAACCACGGTATTCGACCTGCTCAGAGACATTTGATAGCCTGTTGGTCGGTAACTCGGAAAGAGACTGAATGTTTGTCTTCATTCGGGTGATGGTGAGGCCCAAGGGCGACGCCTCCTCGCCGAGAGTCTCCAAAACTTTATCCAAGGTGTTTACCAGTAGGGCACAGAACACGGCAACATCATCCGCATAGCAGAGGTCTGTGAAATGGAAGTGGAAGTCGACACCGAGATGAGGTGGCAGCGCTTCATCAAACTGTTCGCCAGGTCGACCGCAACATTGCAGAGGTGTTGTGCAGCAACACAGTCCTGTTGAACTCCTGATTTGGTTAGGAAAGGATCCGAAACACTGTTCTCAGCTCGCACCACTGGCGGCCGAAATGGGGGGATGAAAGGTAGAGGGCCAGCTAGTCCCCAGCAAAGACTCACACCTCCGGGAGATGACTGTTAATTATTGCAATTGCGACAATTGTACATGTAGTAAAACGAGCAAAAGACCAACTTACCGCTACCACTTAGGCCCTCAAGCATTCCGTATTTTGAGGTAATTGAACTGCAATTTAGTATTGCTCATTGTGAAGCCAACAACAAAATTAATAATTTGAAGGAGGACAAACACAGCTCACCAAGTTGATGTTACAATCTTTTATTATATCAGTGGGAGGATTGACGCAAAGCGACCTGGCAGTTGATTTTCTGTGTCACCAATCTGGGATAGTATAATATGGTTAATAGGAGTCTACCTCTGATTGTCACTTAGGAAATCCGGGTTCGATTCCCCACCGGGAAGACCCTATCCTCATGCAGAATATTAATATAATAACTGTTACACTTGAGTAAAATGGTGAAACGGTCAGTCCTTGTTGTAATCCTCGGTAGTATAGTGGTTAGTATCTCTGACTGTCACTCAGGAGTCCGGGGTTCGATTCCCCGCCGGGGAGACCATTTTTTTTTCCCCAAATGTAAATCATTTAGTAGTACGTTTCAGTTAAATTAGGTGATGGAATTTAAAACCCAGCATCAGTCCTCGATAGTATAGTGGTTATCGTCTTTGATTGTTATCGGCAATCGATTCCCCTACGGTCGGGGCTTTTGTACTCTCTTTGTTTTTTCATCAGCAATTGCATCCAAAATAGGTGCTAGCTAAAGGCAGAGAGTAGTAAACTTCTGCCATTAGGTTTCAGCGACGCAGTGATTAGGAATACAAGATATTTGATAATCATTTAGTTGACCATGGTTTGTATACACCCCTTTCAACAACACAGATCCCTTCACCTCGACTCGAGTTCTAACTTGCAAAAAGCAAAAAAGTTTACTTCCCTTACCATTTTGTCCTAAGAGACACAAAATAAACAGATGGTTAAATCCAAAGGATAGTTTGGTAATGAAATTTCGAAAATCACTGCATTAACTTGGTCAACATGACGTTGCCAACAGGCTCTGTTTTTACTGCTGCAGCCAGATGAATTCGAGATCTTTCCCAATGTTCTCAGCGCTATTCTGAAACGGATTCCCTTCCTCATCTTCACTTCGTATTCTACCATTACTACATACGGCCTGCTGGTAGCTATTAAGAAACGGCAAGGATTTTTTCCAGTGTTTGTTAGGGCAGAAAAGTAGCACAAGAAATAAAAGCCAGAAATTACAGATGAATTAAGTAATTAGAAACGATTATTAGAAAAGATTATACAGTGATAAAACTGGGCTCGTTGAGTTCTAATTCTGGGTACATTCCATCAAATCATTGCATTTCAGTGCGCGAGCTTATTAATATGTTGTGATCCCACGGGATTTTTACAATAAGAAATGCCATAATCAGGAGGATCATAAAAAATATTTCGATAAATTCCGAATTTGGGACTGGTAGTTTCCAGTTCAGGGTATTTCGTTTACAAAAGCCCCAAATTGCGGGCTTATTTCGGATCGGCTACATTCAGAGCTGAGCACATAGTTTTACTACTCTTTTGAGGGGTATCTTCTGGGAAAGGCGAATAAAGAAAATTGTGGCTAACCCCCTTAAAATTGAAAAGAAAAGTGATCTTCTGGGCATAATCTTGAATTTCCAGCGAAAAAAAACGGAGGCTAATCTCCCCCGAGAGTCAACCGGCAGCGCTATTTCGGTGTAGTTTTGCACTGGTTGATATGGGCGCATATTTGGTGTAGTGCAAGCACAGACATGAGGACAGCTCCAACGATTTGAAATATCGCCCTCAACCAGCTCAAGGACAGTATTTGTAATGGAGCGCCACCTTTCGTCAGCAGGTATGCAACCTTAACACCTAACAAAAGTGACAAGTGTTTGGCGAAGAATGGCACATGCAATTTGGCGTTGTAAGGCACCACGGCTGATCTCGAGGACTTGTCGAGATCGGAAGGACTCCTTCAGTGAAAAATGTAGATGCCCAAAACAGAGACCTGTGCATGTAAGCTGTTCCTGGTGAGTATGTTGTGGGTTTGAATTGTCATCGCTTAGCCAACAGAAGCAAGTCCCTAGGCCTACTTCGTACTCCATAATCGGAGTGTAACGTCATGAACCGGTACCGTCAAGCGACTGAATGACGAGGCCTGCATGTACATGCACTGTAGTGTAGGCGTATATATCGCATGGTAAGCCAGACGCCCCTAGGGGTCCAACATGTGGGGTCCAACATCCGCCCGGCTCCCACAGGGGGCCGTTAGACCCCTTAGTTCTGGGGTTTATGCTAGCTCTACTAAGTGGAGTGTTAGAATAGTATTCCTCTTTTACGATTTTGGATGGGATCGTCATACTTATGCCTCACGACATTACATAGAGTAAGGTGAAAATGGCTCTCAAAATTTCCAAAGACTCACCAAAAAACCTCTATCATCACCCCCTTGCTTCTGTAAATGCCAAAGTCAAACGGTTGGGGCTTCAAGAATATTTCTGACTTCAAAATCTGTCAGAATCTGACCATTTTGCTGGGCACATGGACAGTGCTTAAACTTTTCTCTGGCCCCTGCTCGCTTCATGTGCAACGCATTTGGCACCACGAAACAGTCGTTGGTAGGGACCACAAAGGTCACAATCAACAAGTCTTGTGTCCAGACCATGCAAAGCACGTTCGTGCGTACGTCTTAGCGGGACCATGTTCACTTGTGAAACTACACACCTGTATTGGAATGCGATTTTGAAGTCAGAAATATTATTGAAGCCCCATCCGTTTGACTTTGGCATTTACGGAAGCCAGGAGGTGGTGATAGAGGTATTTTTAGTGAGTTTGGAAATTTTGAGAACCGTTTTCACCTTACTCTATGTAATGTCGTGGAGCATTAGTATGACGATCCCGTCCAAAATCATAAAAGAGGAATACTATTCGCTCCACTTAACAGAGCTAGGTTTATGCCATGCTGTGGATAGAGCTTGAACCTGCATGTATACTCAGTTCCTATATTATCGTGGTAATTCCATTAATTGCGGTATTGGAAATTTTGAATTTTGCGTTGCCAGTGAGATCACAAGCAGCAATATTCGCCCAGGCAATCAATAAATTATGGCCCGAGGATAAGTTTTATTAAAACAGAGTGAAAAATTCTGCATTTTTCTGTATGTTTTGATAGTTTTTAATAAAAGATGTAATTTTTCTGACATTTGTAAATTTTCCTTCACCGTGTGTCATTACCTACCGTCTATCTCTTTAACAGTTACATCTAACACCACCCTGCCCCTGGATATCCATTGCTGGGTTCCTAAATGTCAATTCCGAAATGACCAAAGGTGTCTAAAGGCACATTTTAACTGTCCATTTTCGGAGTCAACACAAGGGCTTCTGCACTGAAAAACTTTTGCGAGCAGAAAGCGCGCGACCCCATTATCCATTACAGTAGACTTGTATCAAAAGTACTTTTACCCTCCAGGGCAAATGATAGCAAATAATTACGTCGGCATTATTGTCTCAATTTTTTTGCTCTTCTTGCACAACTTGAAGAATTTTTCAGTGGACGTTTTGAATGATATGGTTATAACTCTTAAGGAATTAGAACTCAGAAAGCAGACACTTTTAGCGATTGTGTCAGACATCCATAAAAGAATGAGTCCCCCAAGAAAAAGAAGTTTGCAATATTTAAAATATTTATTATTCCTTTGGCAAACACCAATTTAAAATGAAAGTCAAAGTTGTTGCTGCAATTAGGATTGGGGTAAAAAAGTAGCGGTGAACAAAACTGAAGTTATTCCATGCCAGATAAATAAGTGTAAGGTGACGCAGTGCAGTTATTCCCATCTCGGTCTTTTGGTGAAAGGCATCTTCAAGGAGAATACTGGAAAAAATGGAATAAATTACAGGTAAAATTGAACTTTATCACAAAACAAGATTATTTTGTTTCCTCTGGAAAATAAATCATTCTGTTTATTCATAAAGAGCTTTAAAGACCATCATAGAAACCCTTTCTCGATACCACGATAATAAAGACTCCACCTCCGCCTGCATACGGTGCGTACACAGATTTTCAGAGTTATCGTAGAGGAAAATAAATTGAACTACAAACAATATCTTATCAATCAAGTTAAAGAGTAAGAGTTAAATAACAGCGAGGACAGGATTATTCATTAAGATGAGCGAGCAATCTGTATTTCGATCAGGAAATGTGATAACTACCATCATAATAGAGTAACCCATCCTAACGCCCTTGACAATAGGTCGCCCATGACGATAGGTCGCTAGGTCCCATATTTTGCCTTTTACTGCAAAAACCAATCAGACTTATGGCAAAATTAGAGACCTGGCAACTATANTCATGGACATTAGTACAGACTACAGCCATATTCCTAGCACTGGATCACAAAGATTATTCAGTCAGATTGCAATGACAAAATCCTCAAATTCCAGTGAAATGTGGTTAGGTCGGTGTGTTGGAGATACTGCAAAATAGTTATTTTTAAAAATCGATGAAAGTGTGATGCTTTTTCCGGTTCTGGATCGGCTTTACCAAGTCCGGATCTACTTCCAGAACTGTAAGGTTTATACGAACCTTTCAGACAGCAATGTACAAACTCCCATAAACGCATTTTGGCTGTTTTGATCATATGATGCAAGATATGGGGCGGACAGAACCCCCCCCCTTTGTGTTGGTCATTGTTTATCGGAATCGCAGGAATTCTTTACAGACTTCTGGGAGGGGGTGATGTGTTAGGTAACAATAGTCTAGAGTGTGTATAGGGATTGGACATGTGGGGGGGTACCCATCTGTCCCATATCGCGCACGGTGTCGTTTTTATTGTACTGGTACCAGCTTACTCTCCCGTCGCAGCTATTTGTGCAACCAAATTTCATACATGCCTTCTGAAGTTACAATGTAGGTGTCGGATGGGGAGGTTTATTCACCTTATATCCCCATAAAAATGGTGAAATTCTTGAGCATTTTGCCCATCCACACTACAGAAAATCAGCAGCAGGTACTCTCAATAACTGTCACCTTTGTGATAATTTATATAACGGGTTTTGCCCTTATGCAACGTATATATTATTAATAAACACTGTATGCTCAGTGCTTGTCCGAGAACTTGCGAAAAAGTCACAAGCTTACTCGGGTGGGACTCAAACCCACGACCTCCTGCTTACTAGTGCAGACGTCTTAACCACTCGACCACCGAGCTTGCCGGGGTTGTCTGGCCGGTCCGAGTCAGGTGAAGCAGCGGGTAACGTGAATTATTTTCAAGATGTATATTTTTTTGCATTGGGGATAGTTTGACCAATCGCAGCACAGCTCCTGTCTTTTCCTTTTGTTTTCCTGTCACCCACAGNTCATCATGGACATTAGTACAGACTACAGCCGTATTCCTAGCACTGGATCACAAAGATTATTCAGTCAGATTGCAATGACAAAATCCTCAAATTCCAGTGAAATGTGGTCAGGTTGGTGTGTTGGAGATACTGCCAAATAGTTATTTTGAAAAATCGATGAAAGTGATGGTGATGCTTTTCCCGGTTCTGGATCGGCTTTACCAATTTCAGATCTACTTCCAGAACTGTAAGGTTTATACAAACCTTTCAGACAGCAATGTACAAACTCCCATAAACACATTTTGGCTGTTTTGATCATATGATGCAAGATATGGGGCAGAAAATCAGCAGCAGGTACTCTCAATAACTGTCACCTTTGTGATAATTTATATAACGGGATTTGCCCTTACCCAACGTATATATTATTAATAAACACTGTATGCTCAGTGCTTGTCCGAGAACTTGCGAAAAAGTCACAAGCTTACTCGGGTGGGACTCGAACCCACGACCTCCTGCTTACTAGTGCAGACGTGTTCACCACTCGGCCACCGAACTTGCCAGGGTTAGCTGGCCGGTCCGAGTTAGGTGAAGCAGCGGGTACCACGAACTATTTTCAAGATGTATATTTTTTTTGCGTTGGGGATAGTTTGACCAATCACAACACAACTCCTGTCTTTTCCTTTTGTTTTCCTGTCACCCACAAATGAAAGCTGCACTGTGACTGGTCCAACTTGCTTCCATTCCAGTGACCAAATTTCAGCAGTAGAGGCTTTTAATTAATGGAACATATGCAGTAGTCATCTTGCAGGATAGCTCTTTTGTTCCACAGGGAAACCTCCTTTGTTCATACCCTGTGGAACAAAAGCAGTGGCCTGCAAGATGGCAGCCATGCAAACCCACTGTATAGAGGCTTACATTTCCAGGTGTTCCTCACCTTTAGCATCCTGTCTTTATAATTAGAAAACAAAGACTACTTTTACACAACAATTCAACTCTTTGTAGATGCATGTAAGTCGGCAGTGGTGTCCTCTTTCGTATCGGAATAATTGTGTTTGTGAAAGAGGGCAGGGCTTTGATTTTGTGGGGGAAATTATGTGGTAGAACGGCAGTGTATCTGTAGTATTGAAGAGGACGTGTGAACAGAGACAAATCAGCAAATGAAATCTGGTACCTTAACCTTGATGAAGATTTTTGGTGAACCTTGATGAATCTTATTCACAGTGGCAAGGTCTGGTAACCAGAGTACGTTGTTAAGCGTCTCCACCTTTGGCTGATTTGATGCAAAATGGCATGACCTGTTTGAGTGGTTGTTGTGTGCCAAACATGGTTAAAGAAAAGTGTGTTTTTGTTTTTACTGAAATATTGTCAAAATTTACCCAAACTAGAGCTGTTAGGATTAAGGAATGGAAGCTTGAGGTCAAAAGGTCATTCAATTTGTAAAAGTGGACTTTGAGTTTCCTTGTTATAGGAACAGGGTGCTAAAGGAAAGGAACACACATTTCTGTGCAACCATGCTTGTCCGGATAGTTGTGAAATGTCAGTACTTCAGGTTGGCATAGTTCTGTTCAGTCCGGTAGTGCAGTCCTTTTGAGTGACCGTTTTAAAGCATCATTTGTTCATGGTCGTGATTGACTTGTTTTTGGGTTTTTTTTGTATTGTACATTGTACATTCCACTCCAGACTTCAACTTTGGAAAAGAAACCATGATGTCAGGTAGCAGTGGTGGATTTTAGATTATTTGGGATTGTACATTGTAAACATACCAAGGGTTTAGATTTGAGCTCAATTTGTTGAAGGGATTTAGCTCTGAAAAAGAGACAGCTGGCTCCATATTTCATAGCTGGCATGCATGTAGCAAAACTAATTCTTACTGTACGTGTACCGGAAGAATGCAATGTTCACACCAACAAACGTACATGTAGAAGTGTTTTGAACTTTTCACTTTTTTTGTAGCACTGCTGTGGTAGGTGAGCTGACAAGATGCGACTAACAGTGGTTCGTGCAATGGTGGGAGGTCTGGTTTCTGTACTCATCATCTTGCAGTTGATACACCTATCCATGATCTCCTGGCTGGAGAACAAAGCCACCTCAAACACCCATGGACGCCGGTCCGCCGGCTCAGGTAGCCTGCCCAGTCGCAACAACCATTCTCCCCGGAGCCGGACTGACATGCCCCTGGAGGCCAAGCTGGACACGACTGGTTCCTACAAAATCTACCATTCCTACATGAAGAGTACTGGTGGGATCGGTCGAAAGACTCAGGATTCATTGCCTTCAGAAGTGACTCTGGTCACACAGTGTTCGGTCAATAACCTGTACCACCTTGTTGACCTGGTGGTCCGGTGGAGGGGCCCAGTGTCCGTAGCCGTATTTTCATCAAGTCCAGATATCAGTACTTTTAATAACGTCTTATTCACTTTACGGGAGTGTTTTCCAGGCATCAAAGAGAATGTTACCTTTCACCTTGTGCAGCCCATCACTGAAATAACTGAGATGCTTGGCAGTAGCATCAAGGCCTTCCCTTTCACAAAGTTGCCCTGCAAGACAATCCTGGACAGCTTGAAAGAACAGACATTCGAGGCTGCGTCACAGGCGAGGAACTATGCCCTGGAGGTCGTGTACCCCAACAACGTCCTGCGCAACGTGGCCAGGAGTGGGGTGGCGTCCCGCTTCGTCTTTGTGGTAGACATCGACATGCTGCCCAGCGCTAACTTGCGAACTCAGTTCCTGCACCTGTCGCGGAGCAGCATCATCCTGCAGGAGGAGACGGAGTATTCCAAGCGGACGGCGTTCGTTGTCCCGGCGTTCGAGATCCGGGACGGCGCGGAGATTCCAAGCACCAAGGAGAGACTCATCCGCGATGCTGCCATGTACGGCCGCATCAGACCATTCTATGCCGAGGATTGTCCCTACTGCCACAACCACACAGACTACCACAGGTGGGAGAAAGTCAAGGTAGGTTACTTTTATACATGTTCATGAATGTAAAATTTTGTCTACACGTACAAGTTGCTGATGTTGGTATGCATTCTCATTTGGCAAGCCTTCCAAACAAGGTGCAAGCAGGACTTTTGAAAAAGGTTTCAAAGATGGACCTCGGACCTACATATACCAGCAGTATTTGAAAGGAAGAACTACCGTAGATGAGAATATGTGACCTGTTACGATAAAATGAGAGTAAAGCCGCATCTCGCTCTTTCCTATTTTGAGGGAACTTGAGGGAAGTGGAGGTCAATTTTGAGGTTTTGTAATATTTAGAGAGAGTAACCCGTCTCCTATTTAATTCCAAATATTTCACAGGATCATATATTTAAAAATGTCATTTTCTCTGCAATTTTGACCATACCGTTATTCGTGCCTGGTCTGAAATGGTGAAAATATGCTGGGAACAAGGATGCAAAGCTGCCAGAATGTCACTTTGTCACCTGATACTTTTACCGGTAGTGTTCCATGTATAAACCACTGGCAAGCTCTTTTTCTGCCGAATTAAAAAACACCAATATCTCAATTTTTGAAAATTCCGACTTACAGTTCTTTTTGTGGTTACAGGTCACATATTCTATTTTGATGATCGAAAGTTGGACTTCTTGCTTTTGTTTTTATCAATGTAGATTAATCCTTTAAAGGTGAAAACCAGCTTAAAATTATTTTTAAAACCACAATCAAGGGCCCACTGGTGTTGCTACATGGCCATGTACATACTCGTACAAGTGTACTCTGAAGAACGAGGCACATCAAAGGGTTATATATCATACTTTCTTCGACCTGAGTTAGGGCCTGTTTTTCATTGGCCAAGATAACCACTTACATGTAAGTTACCCACCAGTTTTGGAGAGTGGATAATGTGTTTAGGTAATCGATTTGCTAACATGTAGCTCTGTAATTAGCATTCAGATACTGTGGTAATGTACATGTACCAATTGATATAAAACAAAAATGGTGGGTATATGAATCTGTTACGTAACCAAGAAGATTTGCAGGCTCATAGATAACCTTTTTTTGAGAGTTTATTGAACAATCATCTTTTCCTTTTATGAAAAATAATTTTTTTTTTCTTTTACCCTTTTCCTCAATGCATATACCGCTACATGCATCATACATTGAACGTACCTGGTACATGTACATTTGCAGAGTAAGATGTACTCCATTATCTACATGTACATGTACTAACTGATCTCTGATGTGATGCACAGTGTAACATCTGTGGGCCAGTTCACGTACGCGTGCGAATTCAGGGCCTCTGGGTTTGGATTTTGTTCCCTGACCTCTCACTTTTTTTCCTGTCCAGATTTCTCTTTGTTCATCACAATGCAGTCAATTCCGAATTGCCTTTGAAATGGGTTTGGAAGTTACATTGTAGCTTGGGGCTAGCAGACCCAGTCCCCGGAAATTAAAAGCCTTTGTGTCGAGATATCTGCCAGGGGTGTAATCTAATCAAAGGAGATCTCTTTGAAATGGAATTTCATTTTGCAGAAATGTATGTTTACTTTTCACTTTTTTCAAAATGAAGTTCCTAATTGGATGACAATCCAGATTGTTGAATCACCGCTGATTGGATGGCTTGTCTGAACATGCACACGGTGGGAACTTTCACAGACTTGTGCTCGTCATATCTGAGCAATAACTTCATTACTTCATCCAACATGCCCAATGACTAAGCCAAGACATTATTACATTTGTGCCGCGTGGTCATTGGAGCAAGGGAATGAAATTTACTCAATCACAGCTCAACAACATGTGCACATGTTTGGACACATACATTTATAAATGTACATGTACATGTACCGATAAATTTACGTACATGTGCATGCGTGAAAAAGACATAAAAAATAATATCACTTGTCATCTACCAGTATATTAATTTTAGTTTGATTTGTAAACATACATCACATGCACACACATGTACATGTAAGCATGGAAGTGTGCTGATATAGAAAATTCATACAAGCTGACTTTATTCATAAAGTGTATAGTACGGTAACTTCTTTTGGTCAAGCACCAAATGTACATGTATTATGTTATGCCTATAACGTTTGGAGAAAAAAACAGTTATGTACAATTTAGTACATGTACTTGTATGGGTGTACGTACGTGTGCGTACAGTATGTGTCCTTGTGTACACTTTTTCAAACAATACATGATAAAACAGTGCTTTGCTCGTAATGTTCCTTCAGAGCATGTGGTTATTGAACATGCCACCATCAATATTTCAGAGATACATTACATTGTCACCTTTCCACATTTGCTAAGCGTGGACTCATTTAATAATTTAGTTTTCTCACAGAAAAAAAAAGAATAGAGTGCTTGTTTGTTACAGACTGACAGATGATGATAAATTGCATCCCAGCTACTGTGCGACGCACACCGCGGCCAGGCCCCGCTGACGGAATCACGAGTCGTGAGTCACCACTCTTGCTCCCTTTCTCCTCTTCAAGGAGAAGACAGTGTTCACTTGATTACCCCTGGAAAATGAGTTTCGCAGCAGAGAGGCAGACTGATTGTGCGTCTCCCCATTCCCTCCCCCCCCCGCTCCCGTGTGGCCTCCTCTGTGCTGTTTTCATTAGTGGCCGGTACTCCGCTGCCTGCTTGCTTGGTTTGGTGTCAGTAAATTTAGACAGTCTCATTTCAAGTCTGACGTGATGACTTTTGCAGGCACATGCAGACGTACACTCTCATTACTTATTAATTGGATCTGCAGTTGTTACTCGTATAAAGGTGCATACATGTACATCAGTGTCATCAGTTTGGGATTATAGACATTCATACCCGTACATGTACTGCATACATACGATACAGTGCCCAGTTACATGTACTTGAACATAAAGGTTCTTGAATCCAAAATATCCATCAATTAAATTCCAGAGGTACATGTATGTAAAATAATAGATTTTTAGAGGCAGTATCACTTCTGTTACATGCCCAGTACAAGTGAATGAATGCCTACATATCCATAAGTAAACCTGAGCTCTGTACATTTGGCCAGTCCAATAACAGAATACATGTAGGTGCATTTAACCAGTAGAATTCAAATCAAACTCTTGAACAATCCTTGGATATTTTTTCCCCCTTAGGAAAAAATGGTGTGAAGTGAAGCAGAACCACACAATGAAAAGATTGTGCCCAACTGCCCATCCATGTACAGAATTCATAGGCTACAAGGGAGAAACTTACAAAAAAAAAGAAAAAGTCATCCCAAAAAGTTCAAGTGTTCTTTTTGTAAAGGATTCAGGTACATTGTAACAACCTGCATGTGACAAAAGAAAGTTGGGTTCGATTTTAAGGTAATGTACATATATATGTCCATGTCCAATATACATGGAGTGTGCATGTAGTGAATTTCAACCTCATCAGTGGCTCACTGGTAAATTCCACTGAAGTCAAGTATAAACAATTTGTGGGAAAAAAAATTAGAACTACAGGTTGAGAGGCATACCACGCATGTTTTGATGGCTCTTGCAATTTATTATTCACGGGTCAAAAGGACCAACGAACAAGCAGCCTGAACTGGGAACCAACCTGCAGTTGTATGCTCCATTTGCAGCTACATGTATTCTTCTCTCATGCTTATTAGAGCTACGACCCCGCGATTTTGGCAACCTTAGGATTTGTCTATGTCCGAGGGACTGCGTTCATTAGGGAAGACTTTCTCAGGCACTTAGAGCGCTTACAGAAAACAACCTGCTAGCATCATTCTCGGGAAATAGAGCTGAACATTAATTTGAACAAAGCAATGGTGCCATCTGACACAAAGGTTGAACTAAAGAAAAATGACAAGAGGCAAAGCTTCTCACAGATCTGACTCCAATGCATATGGGTACGTGTACACATTGTTCGATGCATCTTGAAGTCACATACCACGTAAAACGCACTGAGTGACAAAAGACATGCAAATAAACCAAACCGGATGAGAAGTTGACCGGTAAATGCATCTACAGGTCGCTGACAAGTGTTGTAAGTTCTGAATGTTTCATTTTAGTTTCTTACTCATAGAATTTAAAGAAATGTATTGATTTTCAAAAACGCTGTGGAATGTGTATAGTAAATGCCAGAAAACACATGCTGATCTGCATTAAACTTTTTGTGTCATTTCTTTTTCATAAATCGAAAATACTGGTAGGTGGATGTGAATGCAAGGGTGGAGCAGAGCAGTGTACCTCTGCAGGTGCAGCCATCAGGTTTCCCATTGTTTAGAGTACATGTACATTGTACAGTACACCATTTGGGGTACATACAAGTACACTGTACATGTACATGTACATCATCATCATGTTCATGTAGTTACATGCCCTGATATACATGGACTGTATGCATAGGTCTTCAGCTACAGGAATTGGTACTAGTATTCAGCAGGGTCATTATTAAGGGAATAAATACATGTACACTGTAGATGTGCTTGGTCCATCTTAAACATGCGTTTAAGACTGGCTCTGGAGAATAGACGCGACTAATGCCCGAACTGCAGGCCTTGTTTTAGATTTATAATATCGCACTCTGGGATAGATCGTGCTTTGTTTGTTTTATTTAAGCAGTTTCAGCGTAGTTTAAGCAAAATCAGATGGCACATTTATGGACATACAGTTGTTACCCGCCATCATCTGCATGCAAAATTGTGCACTTTAAATGTACAATGTACGGTATGTACATGTATATGTTGACTTTCCATGAGTTCGTCCATTGTATACTGTATACATGTACATGTATGTAGGCTGTACACTGTGCACAGATGAGCAGGTGTCCTTCTAGTCTGTAAGTACGCGGCTTTACCACCCTGATTATTTCCCTCCCTCGTTTTCATTTAAGTCCAAGATTTAATTTGCGGGATGTCGCACAGGTTAAACCTGATGCACAAGACACAAATCTCATGGGGGGGGATGCCACACAAACATTGCCACCGCTTTCCAGATCAGTCTCTTTCGCTCTCTCCCCACCCCTCCCCCCACCAATCAATGGTGGCA